TCTGGTTTCATATGGTTTCGCCCTCTGGTTTCATATGGTTCCACCCTCTGGCTTTATTTGGTGCCGCCCTCTGGTTTCATATGGTGCTGCCCTCTGGTTTCATATGGTGCTGCCCTCTGGTTTCATATGGTGCCGCCCTCTGGTTTCATATGGTTCTGCCCTCTGGTTTCATATGGTTCCACCCTCTGGCTTTATATGGTGCTGCCCTCTGGTTTCATATGGTTCCACCCTCTGGCTTTATATGGTGCTGCCCTCTGGTTTCATATGGTTCTGCCCTCTGGTTTCATATGGTTCTGCCCTCTGGTTTCATATGGTGCCGCCCTCTGGTTTCATATGGTTCCACCCTCTGGTTTCATATGGTTCCGCCCTCTGGTTTCATATGGTGCCGCCCCTCTGGTTTCATATGGTTCTGCCCTCTGGTTTCATATGGTACCGCCCTCTGGTTTCATATGGTTCCGCCCTCTGGTTTCATATGGTGCCGCCCTCTGCAACATTAACCTGTTAGTCCAGAAGCTACGTCCTCCTGGTACCACAACAATGGGATTGGGTGATGCTGGCTGTCATTCAACCCAGAGAGGTGTTGTAATAAATGGCTCCTCAGCATGAACTCACATAATGCGTGCTAACATGCATTGCAGTATTGTGCGTATTACCACAACGCACCGCAGTGAAAAAAGCACGTTTTTTGGGCGTGTGGAACAATATGAAATGCAGTTCTGCTTTTATCCCCAAAGCCGGCTCATCCTTTATATTCTGCCCATCGTTTGGTAAGAAATAAATATGATGAATCTATAAAAACATAGAAATGACTTAATCTGGCGGAATTCAGCCGCCCCTCCAAAGCCGCAGACCGGCATCGTGTTTATTTGTCTCCAGCGAGGATAAATCATTTGCTTCCTCGGATGAGCCAGGGTGGTCGTATTTTGATATGCCATTCAGCGGCAGAAATGATAGTTCTTAAAATTCGACTTATTGATTTCCCGGGACCCCCACGGTCTTCCATCTCCAAGATTTCTTTCTCGTACAGCAACAAAGCTTTGAAGAAGATAAGACGTCTAATCTCCTTACAAAAAAAAAGAATTTGTCTTTGAAGATGTGGACATTTCCAAACATTGTCAACATCACAGCCGTGGTGCCCGGAGTCTGGATCTTTCGGCAGACAATTACTATCATCTCGATGTGTGAAGGCGGCCATCGCGGTTTGTATGAACACAAGACGGAATTGCTGTCATAGGAGGGATGTTTTTATGAGACACAACAACCATTGTAAAAGGATGGAAAGGAGATCCTTGCAAATTTCGGAATTATGAAAAAAGTACATTGTATCGCATACTGGTGGGAACCAAATATTCTGAAAGCCAAGCCAATGATGATGGTTTTACAATCTCCTAAATATACACTCTGTGTAAGGGGAGGCCCAGCTTATTTCCACGTGGTTGACATGTGGGCGGGGCTTAACACGCCCAGTAGTGGGGACCTCAGACTCCCCAGTGGCAGGCACAGGCTGCGGTCACGTGAAATCAGCATTAAGATAATTGTGACAGAAGTCACTTTGGGTGGGGGGGGGGGACCCATGGAACACAGCTCACTTTGGAGAGGTGGGGAGACCCCTGTCTCAGCTCCCCATATCCCTCTTATGTGTAAGTCACCCTGTGCCTGTTAGGGGTACAGGGTGACCTTTCCTAATATTGGGGTGGGGGGTTGTGGATTGTTTAATGTCATATCGTTGCATCCCATTGTTCTATTTGTGTGTCTTGCTTGGGAGCAAACTATTATGGGATGTATGTGTTTATGTGTATTGGCTTGGTGGGGGGGTGTCTCCAGCAGCCCTCCCTCCTGATGGGACTGTCTGCTGGTGTGCAGTTTGAATACCTGTGTGTCTCTTGTTACTAAATGTAGATTGCCCTGCCCTGTGACATTATGCGGGGGGGGGGGGATTGTCCCCTGAGTGTATATATCTTGTATCTGTGTTCAAATAAAAAAGTCTTGTATGGTCACCTGTGGTGCCTGTTGTCGGTGTTCGGAATGGAAACGGTATTTAGCTAGCGGAAGTACCCAAGCGCAGATTGGGTCGGTTCCATTACAGTAATACTCTAGATCAGGGGCAGACTGACAACTCAGGGGATCATGGGGCCCCTGTGTCCTCGCCCACACTCAAACCTCTCCCAAAAAAGCCTATGAAAGGTACCAAGGGCATCTCATGGGGCCCCCTACTGACCCCGGGCCCTCGGGCAGTGCCCAAGTGTCTGAATGGTCAGTCCGCCCCTGCTCTAGATTAAAAGTGAGACTCCTCTGAGAGAACACTTGTAATCCGTGGTCATACGTCTATACTTTTGATGCTCATGCACTATGGACAACAACCGCTTCTATTAGAGGTACCGATCCTCACCAACTCAGCAGTCCCATCACCTCACTCCTGTTGGCTGTGATCCATATGTTTACCATTGGATACAGGAAGCACACTCCTCTGAAGACCAGGCTTCTTCTCCTCCTGGGGCCCCACTACAACTTCCAGGCTAGGTCCCTAGGTACTCTATACCACAAGGCCAGTCCCAGTATGTGTTGAACCAGTCATTAGTGAAGTGTCAAAGCATAACACCCCTTCAATATCAGAGCCTCCGTCACCCTTGCCATGTCACCCACTTCCTGGTTGGTTGATTGCTTAAGCAACCAAGTACTGTAGTCATTAGCAATGGCAATATAGCCTCCTTAGGATAGCTTCTCTGGTCATTAGATCTTTGTATTATACTTCCTCTAACTTGTCCCCTCAATTAAAGCCCTGTTCTTCGAAGTGCCATGCATGCACCCATTTAGTGGTTTCAGACCAGATTGGATGAGCCATAAGAAGTAGTTAACCACCCAGCTGTCCTTTTGCTAGTGGCAGGACAGGCCTTTCATCGATCCAGGTGGATATGATATGATGTTCTCCCAGGATCGAACCTCTCGAGTGCCCGATGGACCTCGCTTGTCAGCACCTGTGGTAATGAGCCCTTGTAGATACACCACTTGGGGTTTCCCAGGGCACGGAGTCTAAGCCCCAGACTGCTTCTTCACCAGAGCCCCTGATGGTGGGGATGGTGGGAATGGACTTGCAGCAAGCTTGGACCAGGTCGTGGCCCCCAGGTACACCCCAGATGAGGATGAGGAGACCGCTCATGGGAGCAGAGTACAATGGGAGGAGACAAACAGAAATCCAATAGACTAGCCGTGGTCAGGACAGGCAGAAAACAAGCACAGTCAGAGAATGAAGCCGGGGTCGGTACACAAGTAGTCAATGTAGGATACAGGCAATAGCAACACACAGGAGCTCCGACAACTAGGAAGTTGCTCAGGCAAAGTGGCCTAGACTGAGCATGTCTTATATAGACAGGCTAAACAAGGAGGAGGGCCAGGAAGTGACGGAAGGGAAGGAAATAAAATCCAGAGAACAGCAGAAGTTGCCCATAGATGAGCACAGACAAACACACATGTGAAAGGATCAGGAACAGGACTGCAGCAAGGAGGTAAGAACACAAACAAAAAAACTGCAGGCTAACTTGTGACATTGCTGTGACGAGATCTGTCACCAGCTGTGTCCATCGGATGGCAGATCTGTGTACCGGCCAGTTGCCAGTACCATGTGACAGCTGTGACCAATCACAGCAGGTCACATGACAATTGTAGACAATGGATGGCTTCCTTTCATGACATCCATTGCATACAATTGTGTTGCTAGCTGTGATTGGTCACAGTGATCACATGGTACAGACTGGGCCAATCACAAACCATCTGTGTCATGTGATTAGCTTTGGCCAGTCACAGCTAATCACAACAAAAAAACCTGAATGAATCGATTTCAATGCCTGCTTATAGCCATGAAATTCTGTGCTATAAGCAATCATAATGTGTAAAACAAAAGTACTTATCACTTCCCCAGTGTACTGCCATGTTACTATGATAACATTATACTACTCTGGTCACAGTGTGTGTTATAAAAAAAAAAAATCACAAAAAAAAGAAAAAAAATGTAATAAAAATAATTTTAAAAATATTTATTTATTTTCCTACTGTCACCAGTGTCCCTGATCTCTGCCACACCAGTTATGTGATGACACTTTACTGCACTAGTGACAGTAAAAAATTGGGAAAAATTTTATTTTAATTTCTTAATTTTCCCAAAAGTTATGACACCAAACATTACAACTTCAAAAAACTCGCCTTGCCTCTTACTAAATACCTCGGACTGTCTACTTTCCAAAAAGCGATAATTTTGGGGATATCTCTACTGTCCTGAAATTTGGGGGATATCTGTACTGTCCTGACATTTGGGGGATATCTGTACAGTCCTGACATTTGGGGGATATCTGTACTGTCCTGACATTTGGGGGATATCTGTACAGTCCTGACATTTGGGGGATATCTTTACCATCTTGACATTTGGGGGATATCTGTACCATTCTGACATTTGGGGGATATCTGTACTGTCCTGACATTTGGGGGATATCTGTACCATTCTGACATTTGGGGGATATCTGTACTGTCCTGACATTTGGGGGATATCTGTACCGTCCTGACATTCGGGGGGATATCTGTACCGTCCTGACATTTGGGGGATATCTGTACCGTCCTGACATTCGGGGGGGATATCTGTACTGTCCTGACATTTGGGGGGATATCTGTACCATCCTGACATTTGGCGGATATCTGTACCGTTCTGACATTTGGGGGATATCTATACTGTTCTGACGTTTGGGGGATATCTGTACTGTTCTGACATTTGGGGGATATCTATCCTGTCCTGACATTTGGGGGATATCTGTACTGTCCTGACATTCAAGGGGATATCTGTACTGTCCTGACATTTGGGGGATATCTGTACTGTCCTGACATTTGGGGGATATCTGTACTGTCCTGACATTTGGGAGAAGATCTGTACTGTCCTGACATTCGGGGGGATATCTGTACTGTCCTGACATTCAAGGGGATATCTGTATTGTCCTGACATTTGGGGATATCTGTACTGTCCTGACATTTGGGGGGATATCTGTACTGTCCTGACATTTGGGGATATCTGTACTGTCCTGACATTTGGGGATATCTGTAACGTCCTGACATTTGGGGGGGGATATCTGTATGGTCCTGACATTTGGGGGGATATCTGTACTGTTCTGACATTTGGGGGATATCTGTACTGTCCTGACATTTGGGGGATATCTGTCCTGTCCTGACATTTGGGGGATATCTGTACTGTTCTGACATTTGGGGGATATCTGTACTGTTCTTACATTTGGGGGATATCTGTACTGTTCTGACATTTTTGGTCCTCAAGAAATCAGATCGGCTGTCAGTACTTCAGGATTGATCAATTTTCAGATATTTCCCATAGTTTGTGAACTCTATAACTTTCCTACACACTAAATAATAAACACTGATTTGGGTTATTTTCACCAAAGAAATGTAGCAGAATACATTTCGGCCTAAATTTATGAAGAACAATTATTAAATTGCAAAATTGTATAACAGAAACAAAGAAAAATGTGTTTTTTCCCCCCAAAATTTTGGGGACTTTTTTGTTTATTTAGAAAAAAATAAAAAACCCAGTGGTGATTAAATACCACCAAAAGAAAGCTTTAGCTGTGTGAACAAAATGATAAAAAAAGTTAATATGGGTACAGTGTTGCATGACCGCGCAATTGGCATTCAAAGTGTGAAAGCGCTGAAAGCTGAAAATTGGCCTGGGCAGGAAGGGGGTAAAAGTGCCCGGTATTGAAGGGGTTAAATAAAACATTTGAGCAGTACATGATAACATCTTCAACAAATACCTGACAGAATTCTCTAAGCGCCCCCTTAGGTAGTCATACCTGGGTTAGGTGGTCAGAGTCCATAAAAAAATCCTTTACAAGGCAAGAGTCCATTGATGGCAGTAAATCCCATGAGGCAGCAATAATCCATAAAAGTCCAGCATCTGATAGCACAAGTCCATATAAGTCCATACTTCCTTGGAACCTTGAAGGGGATCCCACAAGGGTCCGCAGAGTAACAGCTATACTGTTCATGTGCATGGATGAAGGTCCTAAACCTCTACCCCTTATCCTCCTGGTCACTGCACACATTAAGCCCCTTCTCACCTTGAGTTCTCTCACATAGACCCATGCTATACTCATGGTCCAGATAGAAGCTCCAGAAGCCCAACCATCCATTATGGTCCTGTGAAGCATGGGGGCCAGGCCACTTGATGCATGATACATGAGAGGCTTTCTCTCACTGCCAGGTGGGAGACTCCTTTTGCTCCATTATGATCCACTCCAGAGCCAATCGGTTTCACACACCACTAAAATCACATCACCCCCAGGAATTTGCTGTACTCCCAGAAGACCACCACACAGAAGCTTCTTCAAAAGTCGTTTCTTTACTTTTCAGCCATATAGCAAACAGTCCATGAGAATAGAAGGGAATGTTTCAGATAAAGGCAAGGCAGAACATGTCCATTTGTCACATCATTGCATTTTGCAAACCAGTGGAAGATCAAGGAGATACACGCAACCAGATTTAATTTCATAACTCAGGTTCCTGGGTAACGTTCTCCACAGATCCTCCCCGAAAGGGCGAGCACAACTAGGAACCCCTCAGCTGTCTTCTCTCTTTTCTGTGGAGCTAGGCAATCTCCTCAAGCTTCTCCCACCTTATATATGGGCACCCCATGCCACTACTCCACATAGGAAAATGTGGAGGAAAAACAACCCTTAAAGAAAAGTTCCTCTTTTAATACTATTAATTATCTGCTAAATTAAATACTGCTAACTATCACTTTGTTGCCTAATTGGTAGATGGAAGTTATATAGCCTCAAAATCCCATGACATTCAATAAACTGATGGGATTATGCCAGTAAAAATTGTATCAGAACAGAACCGGACCCCGACTGCACTCGGGTATTTCCGTTAGACTCCCGCTTCCCTGTCCGAACACAGATCCACGGACACCACCGCTGACCATATAAGACTAGACGAGACCACACTTGAAGGAAACCAGATAATAGACTGCTTTATTTTAACATAGATACAAGATATATACACAGGGCGGGGCAATACATTTAGTAACAAGAAACACACACAGCGGACACCCCCCACCAAGCCAATACACAAACACATACATCCCATAATAGTTTGCTCCCAAGCAAGACACACAGTAGAAACAATGGGATGCAACCACATGGCATTAAACAATGAACAACCCCCAATCCCCCCCCCCTGCATAATGTCACAGGGCGGGGCAATCCCTCCTCCCTTCATAATGACACAGAGTGGGGCTATCTACATTTAGTTCCAAGAGACACACAGGTATTCAAACTTCACACCAGCAGACAGTCCCATTAGGGGGAGGGCTGCTGGAGACCCCCCACTAAGCTAATACACATAAACACATACATCCCATAATAGTTTGCTCCCAAACCAGACACACAATAGAACAATGGGATGCAACCACATAACACCAAACAATCCACATCCCCCCCCCCCCACCTATCTCCTAGGCAATACATTTAGTAACAAGAGACACACAGCAGACACCCCCCACCAAAAACCAATACACAAACACATACATCCCATAATAGTTTGCTCCCAAGCAAGACACACAGTAGAACAATGGGATGCAACCACATGGCATTAAACAATCAACAACCCCCCACCTATCTCCTATACATGTCTACACAATATTAGGACATTTCACCCTGTACCCCTAACAGGCACAGGGTGACTTACACATAAGAGGGATATGGGGAGCTGAGACAGGGGTCTCCCCAACCCCTCCAAAGTGAGCTGGGTTCCATGGGTCCCCCACCCAAAGTGACTCCCGTCACAAAAATAATGAAAAAAAACATAAAAAATTTGAAACGTAAAAAAAAATGCCCATTGAGATACAACTGACCCCAAACTATTAGTTTCCCTTCAATGCAAACCTTCCTCTTCCTCTTTAGGGCAGGAGCCAAAGGTAACAGCTGGTACTTCTGGGTATGGAGGAGCACGTGACTCATTACATGTGACAGTTCTGGGCCAGTGAGCACCATCACAGGGGAGTCCATAGCCCTGTAAAAAACTATGAATCTGGTTACTTGTGTCCAGGGGCGGACGGACAACTCATGGGGCCCCCGGGCAATAGGGGATCATGGGGCCCCTGTGTTCTTGCCCAAACTCAAAAAAGCCTATGAAAAAGGTACCAGGGTCATCTCATGGGGCCCCCTACTGACCCCGGGCCCTCAGGCAGTGCCCGAGTTTCCAAATGGTCAGTCCGCCCCTGCTTGTGTCGCAACCCCTGCCCCAGGATGGGTGCATTTTGGCTCTGCTGTACTCAGTTGAGCAGCGATTTATCTTTCAGGTCTGGTCAGGTCTGTCCCTAAACCTGGGGGGTCAATTACTCCTGCCTGCCTCTGGATGAAGCATCCAGAAATAGAATAGAAGAATCAATCTTTGGGCTATGAATATTTTATTCCATAAAAGCTTTTATTATAAGTTCACAAGAGTACAAAGTGAAAAGAAAAAGAGACTTTGGTTGCTGCACATTTTCTGACAAGTATATCCAGGGCTTTTTTTTCAGTGGGAATGTGGGGGGAACGCAGTTCTGGCACCTCCAGCACTGAATGTATGTAATGGCAAGGAGTGCTGGGGTGTGCTGGAGGATCTATTGATGCTGGCTGCTGAGGGATCTAGCAGAGGGATATGCTGGGGGACCTATTGTTGCTGGAGGGGGATCTATTCTATTTTTTGCAGGGAGGTCTATTGTCTCCAGGGAGGTCTATTGTTGCTGGTGGGGTATTAATTGGGGGTGGATCTTATATTGCTGGGGGGGCCAATTGTTACTGGGAGGGATTTACTGTTGAGGACAGGGGCTATTGTTGCTGACTGTTGGGGGTCAACTGATGCTGGCTGCTGGAAAATCTATTGTTGCAGCCGGGGGGGTCTATTGTTGCTGGGGGGAGTTTTGGTTGCAGGTGATCCATGTTTGCAAGGAGAACTACTGTCACAGAGAGGGTGTCTGTAGTTGCTGGCTGCAGGAGATCTATTTTACTGCATTTCTTGTTATCATTAACATATTCCCATACAAATTACTTGGCACCACAAAATGATACTTGGCTCTGTATTCTCTAAAAGGGTGGTACTGGGAGGTGGTTAGGAGGTGGAACCAGGGCCATGGATAAGGGGGTACCACCAGTCCTCCTTTATGGGGCCCAGGCCTGCAAGGAGGTCCAGGCAGCTGGGTGAATTGGATGTGGGCAGGGAGGGTGATCGTCACAGCGGGAGCGAGCAATTACTGGAACCGATCCCCTGTATGGGTCTCTACAGCAGCTGAAATCTGGCTTCTTCTCCTCTCCCTCCTGCTGGCTTTCAGCTGCGGAAAGGAGAGCCATTTTGGGGATCGGTTCCAGTAATAGGTCCCCCATCCCACACAGTGGTGTATTTAGGTTTTGTGCTGCCCTAGGCAACACAAAAATTGTCTGCCCCCACAGACACAAACCAACACCCCCCCCCTTCCCCCTCCCGTGGAGAGAGCCTGTCATTGACCAACACTCCTGCCCCCCCCACCTGGGAGAGCCTTCCACTGACCCCCCCCCCCCCCAGTGATAGAGAGAAAGACATTCATCTACACAGCTCCGGACATCCCCGGGAACGTAAGTCAGGCTCTACATACACCATCAAGTAGTCTGCAGCCTCTCTCAGATCCCACCTGATTCCCATGGCACGCGTGTCCCTCCTTTCATCCCTTCCTTCATCCCTTCTTCTGGGGGGGGAGTGCTGCCCCCCTGAAAAATGCAGCCCTAGGCAAGTGCCTTGTTTGCCTTGTGGTAAATACGCCCCTGATCCCACACCCATCACCCTCCCTCTGCATCATATGTTTCCCCCCTGCTGCCCAGGCCCCCCAGTGTGCCCCCACCCTCACATTGCTGCCAGCTTCCCTCCTCTCCTTCTCACCAGCAGCTGCAAGCACACAATAGGATCCTTCAGGATGGAGAGCAGGGGAAAGGTCCGGTAAATATGTCACTTTTACCAGCCCCTTCCTTTCCTGAATGAACACAATGAGTGATCAGTACCAATCACCCACTGTGTTCACTCATAACTGAAGCCTAGTAAACTGCTTATTTGGAGAGGGGGCCTGTCAGGTTGGCTGTATGGGGCCCCATGGTTTCTAACAGCAGCCCAGGGTGGAACCAAGGAATGGTGCTCAGAGGTGGAAAGGGAGACAAGGGTGACTCTGAAAGGATGAGTTCCAGAACCTATTTTCTGAGAAAAAGAGCCCTGAGATATAAAAAGTAAGCAAAAACACGATTACAGGGATAATTAAAACCGGTGAAGGTGCAATACTGAGAATGTACTGTATATACAGTCAGGTCCATAAATATTGGGACATCAACACAATTCTA